GCTAACTAAGTAGGTTTACAGGTAGAAAAGAGACGAGGTGTACAGTTGGAGACCTCATTGAATGATGATAATGGCGTTTTATCAAACAGCTAGCTATGCCTGTGACCACCCATTGCTGAAAATCCTTTTTTTTTAAATATATATTTTACAAAAAAACCCTTTCAGTTTTTTCAATCTTTCTGTCACTCATAAAAATCAAGATACATGGGACCTAAACTCATGTGAGGTCCTTAACTATGTGTCGGTAAGACAGTCATAAAAACCAGACTTTTTCTTTACATATTGCTAAGTAGTTAAGTACTATAAATATACCCTTTAGTCAGTTGAAACAAACACAACACAACACCATTCAGAATTTACATTTTTTTGGTACAGAATGGGGCTGCAGTCACTTTGTGGCAGAGTCCTCCTCGGACTGTCCCTGACTTTATTACTCTCTAGTTTCTGCTTTGCTGATGACAAGACAATCAAAGTTTTTGGAATTGGAGAATGCGCTGATTGCAAAGAGAATAACATTAACACCATTCATGCTTTCTCAGGTTCTTTCTAATTTAGTTTGAATGCATGTCAATGTGCTATTGTCTCTTTATATAGTTGAATTGAGTTAAATCCAATTGTATTTTCTAAATATGGTATCGGCCGAACTCATCTCCGTCGTGTTTTCAATGTTGAGCTCCGTTCCATTTGTCTAGTCCTGAGCCTGCATGATGTTTAAGTGTCGCTCTTTATATGATTTTGAAAAATTCTTGCTTCTTGAGCTAGCTTTTGACTGTATTAGATCAAATATCTATCTTTTTAACTTGTTTAAAAAATTCATTAGCATCTAACAATGTTACATTATTGGTTTCAGGGCTTCATGTAAGCATTGACTGCAAGCTTGAGAATGGAGAAATCAAAACAAGGGGTGAAGGAGAGCTTGACAAAGATGGCAAGTTTGAAGTGTCACTTCCTAAGGAAATGATAAAAGATGGCAAGCTAAAGGAAGAATGCTATGCACAATTACACAGTGCATCAGCTGCACCATGTCCTGCACACAATGGCATTGAATCTTCCAAGATTATGATCATCAAAACTGATGGAAAACACTCATTAAAACCTACTGGAAATGTTAAATTCTCAACAGCATTGTGCACTTCTGCTTTCTTGTGGCCTTACTTTAAATACCCACCATTGCCAAAGTTGCCACCTTTCCCTAAAGATCATCCTTGGAAGAAAAATTTCCCTTATTTTCCACCATTGAATCACTTTGGCCACCCTTTCCCTCTTCCCCCTATTCCTCCCATTTTCAAAAAGCCATGTCCTCCTACAGTTCCAAAGCCAAATCCTCCTTCGGTTCCCGTTTACAATCCTACACCAGAACCACCAGTAGTAAAGCCACTTCCTCCTCCAGTTCCAACTTACAAACCAAAACCAATGCCTCCTCCAGTTCCCATTTACAAACCTAAACCAGAACCACCAGTAGTAAAGCCTAAGCCTCCTTCAGTTCCTGTTTACAAACCAAAACCAAAGCCTCCTTCAGTTCCCATTTACAAGCCCAAGCCTAATCCTCCTCCTGTTCCTACTTACAAGCCTAAACCAAAGCCTCCAGTTAAAAAGCCATGCCCTCCTAAAGCAAAGCCTCCTGCAGTTCCCACTTACAAACCCAAGCCCAAACCAGAACCACCAGTAGTAAAGCCACTTCCTCCTCCAGTTCCAATCTATAAACCAACACCAAAGCCACCAGTAGTAAAACCACTTCCTCCACCAGTTCCAGTATATAAGCCACCAGTAGTAAAGCCACTGCCTCCTCCAGTTCCAGTATACAAGCCGCCAGTAGTGAAGCCACTGCCTCCTCCAGTTCCAGTATACGAGCCACCAGTCGTAAAACCTCTGCCACCACCTGTTCCAATTTACAAGCCAATCCCACCATTCTACAAAAAACCATGCCCACCACTTCCACAGCTTCCACCTTTCCCTAAAGTTCCTCCTTTCCACCATCCATTCTTCCCACCACTTCCTCCTTCTATTCCTCACCCATAAACAAACATTACAAAGCCTTGAAAATTATTTGCAATTTATGAAATAAGTTGATCAAACGCTGGAACATTCAAGAGATATGATGCTTGAGAATGTGAAAGGAAAAGAACAGAGAATAGCAAATTTGATGGGGTGGAGAGTTAGTTTTTACTGTGTTATTTTGTTTAGTTGAGTGTTCATGCAAATGTTTGTACATCTTCAAGTGAATTATGGTCCGGGGAATAATTATGGGTATATCTTGTATGCTAGTGTATACGTTCAAGAATTGATCTCGTTAATTTTCATTGTTATGTCATTCATGGAAACTTGTACTATTCATCTCTTTTTAATATACTGTTGGTTTTTAATTACTCTTTCATGTAATCTAGTACTGTTCCTCTCTTTAAATGTATTTGTTTTTGTTATTCATTGGGCAAACAATAGGTGATCAATTACAGAGTCTGTTTTCAGAAAATCTCCTTTTTTAATCTGAAAATTATGTTGATCATTTTCCACTCTATTAATTTACAAAGTTAATGTATCAATATTAAGAAACTTAGACCATAATATCCATGCAGATCGATAGAGGCAAAACTAGTATGCAGTGATCATTGGCGCGATTGATGGAGATGAAAATTGTGTTGTTTATGTCAATCTTTATCATAATCATTGCTGGCTTAAAATGTCATTTTCCGTTGCTATAAAGAGTCATATTAATTATAAAGCAGCTTCCACGGATACCGACAAATACCATTAAATGTTACCTACTTGTGTAGCTAAACACTCAAACTAGTAATCGGGATTAAGCAATTAACAGAGAATAATTCATTTGCTTTGGGAAGTATATTCTATTTACAACAACAACAACAACAACCCAGTAAAATTTCACTAATGGGGTCTGGGGAGAATAATGTATACGCAGACCTTACCCCTACCCCGAATGAGTAGAGAAGCTGTTTCCGAAAGACTCTCGGCTAAAAAAAAAAAGACAAAAGGGCAAAAAGGGAGACAATATTAGTATCACAACAACAA